CGGTGGTCTCCAAAGGCCCGTTACTGGCCTCTGAGAGGTCTTACTGGCTTATGAGAGGCCAGTTCTAGTGGCATTTCCCGCCTGTGATGGTCCCACACTTATTTTTCTGAGGGCCCCATAACGGCAACTGTGGGGCCCTCGTCGGCACCTATGAGGGCCCACACCGGTGTCTCTGAGGCATAGGTGGGCATCGTTCCCCAAAATTGTAACTTCGTTACTCGTTCCTCCGTTCCCTCAAAACGTGAATTCCGTTACTCGTTCCTCCGTTCCTATGCATATAATGTAACGGAAGTTCTTTTAGTCCGTTACTCCGTTACAGCAAAATAAAAAACGTTAAAATGTGGTGTATTTCACACATTTTTGAGACCATTCTGACACAAACTAAACCTACCGAGAAAGCGGAATGCCCACCAAATCTACCAAGACAGTGGGCCCTGATTGGACACTAAACCTTGGAACGTCTGGTGGTACTGATGCGCATCACTTGTCCCCGGCCAGATGCCGGTTGCCCTTCACCAATACCTACTAGACGTTCCAGGTTGGCAGCTGAGAGCATAGGCGGCGGAACGGGGGGGGGGCACCGGCGCACCGTGCCCCCTTTGATTTTGGCATTTTAACATTAGCCCTATGTTCGTTGCATGGAAAGAATGGGACCAAAAGTCGGCAGTGCCCCCCCCCCCTCTCCCTTAATTGAAGATGTTCCGCTGCCACTTTCTGAGATGGTAGCTCTTTTTGCACGTAGCACATCTTTTCCCATTGACTGAGAACATGCGCTCTACTGAGGCGCTTGAAGGGACGCCCGTGTTGAACTTTGCGAACACATACTGCAACGCCGGCTCATTGCGGAAGGCCAGTACACTGTACACTACACTGAGGCCATCTTCCGTCTTCAAGTCAGGGCTGCTCAATAATCCACTATTCCGCTGCTGCATTAATGTCTGTGGGTTAGCTGAAAGATCAACCCGCTCGGACAACGAAAAGTAACGGAGGAACGAAGGAACGGACTAAACTGTTAACTTGTAACGGAGGAACGAACAACCAATGTAACGGAAGTTACTTGGTCCGTTACCCTTTTTAAAATGTAACGAGTCCGTTCCTCCGTTCCTAAAAATTGTAACGGCGTTCCGGAACGGAGGAACGGAGGAACGGATCGTGCCCACCTATGCTCTGAGGGTTTCACACCCCCAACTCTGAGTGCATACATGACCATTGCCTATTAAAGCCCTATATCGGCGGCTCTGAGGACCCAACCAACACCTGCGCATCTAAAGGCCACCCACTGGTGACTTTTGAGGGCCCCACACCGGTGACTCTGAGGGCCCCACCGGCGTCTGACAGTACCATGCTGGTCTCTAAGGACCCCACAGGACTTCTTCTGCCGGCCTAAGGACCCCTTGCTGGTCACTGATACCCCCTGCCGGCTTGTAGAGAGTTCGCGTCAGCAGCTCTAAAGGCCCCACACCCGTCTGTAACGGCTCCACACCAGCGTCTATGAGGGCCCACATCAACGCCTGTAAGGACCCTCATCGGCGCCTCTGAGAGAATCTATATACTGCACCTCTGAGCGCCCACACCGGCACCTGCATGACAGCCCCACACCGGTGCCTCTAAAGGCCCCTTACCGGCGGCTCTGAGGGCCCAAGGCCGGTGATTCTGAGGGTGCTACCGAAAATCGAAGGCACCACACAAGCCCTTAGTCTCGCTGAGTTTTAATCCCATACCGGTTCTCCGAGGGCGCCACGTCAGTGCACTCATTGCCCCACGCCCCTCCCTCACACCCGGAACTAGGTTATAACTATAGCAACGATTTTACCACCGTTGTACGTTAGGTATGTATTTAATCTCAAAGTTGACTCAAAATGGTCCAGTATAAAATCTGGCCTGCCAAACTTATGGCCAAGGTCATGCCCAAATCAAAGCGGGATGACAACAGCAGATGTTGTTAAATCGATACTGTATCAGCAGAAACCATTCAGATGGCAAGGAACATGCCGTGTGTTGATGTTAAGATGTATAAAGGAAACGAGAAGGAAAGAAGTCCGGATAAGGGAGGAAACATCTTTTCTCGCTGCCCCAATGTTGAGGGGGCGCCGCCCCCTCGGCTCCCAAGTTGGGGGGGGGGCAAGCGCCCCCGCTGCCCCCCCTGTTCCCGGATCTATAAATTTCGAGGTCACATGAGAACCATAATAATTTTGAATGGCAACATCTGAGGGGCAAGGTGCTCATGGATTCTGCAGATTGGCGTATCAGACAACAGTCGGGTCACCTCAAGCTTGCCCCCACTGGCAAAAATTCGTGGCGCCGCCACTGACCATACCCTACCCTACCCCTACCCTACCCTACCCTACTCTACCCTACCCTACCCTACCCTACCCTACCTTACCCTACCATACCATACCATACCATACCCTGCCCTGCCCTATCACCGACAGTCCAAGTTTCAGCTAAATCGGCCCAGAAACGGCTGAGATATTGCAAAAACAAATTAATTGTATTTACTGGCGAATCCTCTTGGCGAGCGGTGCCTTGTGTCGGCCTTCGTTGTCAAAGGTCAATGACCTGCAGGCTCTGATTATTTCATTTCCACTCAGTTTTTTTAAGCGAACAACTGAGCCTAAAGCACGTGCCCTCTGATCGGCGCCGGTCGCGATTCTAATGCTAACCCTATGGCGCACATGAGCACGCGCCACGGGCGCACCCCCGGCCGCATCGTGCCCAAAATTTAATACGACCTGTTCAATTACGTGACCCACGAGTCGTCAAAATTTCACCGTCCTGCGTCAATCGACGGCGCCGCAATAAGCCTTTTTGGGAGTAACCCCGACGGCGGCGGCGTGGGCGGCGTGGGCGGACTTTTTAAGATGTATAATAGTAGACTAGAGGGACAGCATTACGCGCAGCGTAAAGAGGGACAGCATTACGCGCAGCGTAAAGAGGGACAGCATTACGCGCAGCGTAATGAATCAATTTTCATTAAAATTGGCCCAGTAGTGGCCGAGTTATTGCCAGAATAAATGTTGCGTCTCCTCTTGGCCGGCGGTGCTCTGTTCCGGTATTCATTGCCAAAGGTCAGTGACCTTCCGGCTCTGATTTCACCCAGTTTTGCAAACGAAGAAACTGAGCCTTAGGCGCGTGCCGTCTGCTCGGCGCCGGCCGCGGCCCAAAATGCTGCAAAGATGCGCCCGCCACGTGCACACCGCTGCACGCACCCCCTCCAAAATTGAATACAACAAACAGATGGACGCGTCCGACTTACGTCGAAAATTTCACCCCCGTAGCCCGCACCGTTCCAGAGCAACAGCCCGCCAAGCCTGACTGACGCGTCACATACATACATACATACATACATACATACATACATACATACATACGGACGTTTTGATTTTTACATATGCATGGTGTGTCAAAAGTGGAAATAGCCGCCCGGCTTTAGTTCGCCAGCCTTGTCAATAGATGCCAGTACCACAACATGGGCAGCGGATCGTGCAATTGACGTCAAGTTTTCATTATCTGCTAAGAATTGAATGGCGGATCTTTTCATGCAAGAATCAAGTAAATCGGTCCACAACTTTTCTAGCAACAGAGATATGAAGTCAAACACCCTGCCAGAGCGGCGGCGCGGCGGCCGGCGGCAGCCGCTACGCGCCGCCTGGGAGACTGGCGGCGCTGAACGGTTCCGAATTGGCACTGCACTAAAACCTGTTAACTGCTTGGAATAGTTATTATAGCAAAATTTTCATTCAAGTGAGGAATAACCAAGGGCAGGAAGTATGTATGCTTGTGTGCGTACTATGTAAGCCAAGAAACTGCATTAGCAGATACTCGCTAATATTAGATCCAGCCAAGTCCAAACGCATTCCAGGTGATGTGTTTCTGATGGGTTAACAATATTTATCGTTCGAGGGCGGATACAGTTTTAACAATACAAAAAATATTTTTGCACAGCTCTATTCCTTGAATAATTCTCTTCAACGCCTCATTCCTAGTTAAGCGAATTAGCCCACCCTGGTTGAATAAATAAGGCGATTTCGCCACAAGGTCGGGGAAAACCGACCGAAAACGGCCGCGCTCAACGTTAATTTGGGCATGCAGACTCTTAAAAACTCGCATTGGGCGGGCAGGGTTTCCCAGGTATTGGCTCCAAAACACCGTATTCGGCTCCCGAATACGTCCAAGTGACCCGCCTCGTTCCTAGTTAAGCTCTAATTATATCAAGTGACTCATAGGGAGCGAAAAAGCGACAAAAGGCATGAATTTCCCTATGGCGGCGGGCTGCCGGGTTGCCAGACGGCGCACCGGCTATTTCCACTTTTGACACACCATGGTAAACTAGAGGGACAGCATTACGCGCAGCGTAATAAATCAATTTTCATCAAAATCGGCACAGTAGCGGCCGAGTTATGGCCAGAATAAATTTGGCGTCTCCTCTTGGCCGGCGGTGCCCTTTTCCGGTATTCATTGCCAAAGGTCAGTGACCTTCCGGCTTTAAGTTCACTCAGTTTTGCAGCGAAGAAACTGAGCCTACGGCACGTGCCGTCTGCTCGGCGCCGGCCGCGGCCCAAAATGCGGCAAAGATGCGCCCGCCACGTGCACACCGCTGCACGCACCCCCTCGAAAAGTTGATACGACAAACAGATGCACGCGTCCGACTCGGCGCCAAAATTTCACCCCCGCAGCCCGCACCGTTCCACAGCAACAGCCCACCAAACGTGACTGACGCGTTACATACATACGTACAGACATTTTGATTTTTATATATGTAACTAGAGGGACAGCATTGCGCGCAGCGTAATAAATCAATTTTCATCAAAATCGGCCCAGTAGCGGCCGAGTTATGGCCAGAATAAATTTGGCGTCTCCTCTTGGCCGGCGGTGCCCTGTTCCGGTATTCATTGCCAAAGGTCAGTGACCTTCCGGCTCTGATTTTGCTCAGTTTTGAAAGCGAAGAAACTGAGCCTGTAGCACGTGCTCTCTGCTGTTGTTGTTGTTTGACCCTCCGGCTACCGCCGGGGCGGTAGTGTAGCCGACCGGCTCTTGTGGGCCATGTATCCGGTGGCCAAGGCCGCCACCACGTCGTCGCGCCGGACATCGTGGGCCGCGCCGATGATGTTGCCCAGCGCACGGAGCCGGGGGCCGTATAGGCACGGGCATTCCAGCAACACGTGCGCCGGGGTGTCCGCTGCTTCAGAACAGACTAGGCAGCGGCCCGCAGGGCATTCCTTGTCGTCACATTGAGCGCACTCAGGTGTAGGTCTTCGACCAATCCGGTGGAGGTACTGCTCCGATCGGGCCCAGTGGCCAGACCGGAGCTGGTGGATGTCGACGGCCTCCTTCCTGGTGGCGGTCCGGACCGGGGCGGGGGCGCGGTCCCCCATGACGGTGCGGTACCAACCGGCCGGCCAGTCCGCCTGCCACTTCCTCTTGGAGTGCCGCGCGACAGCCCGCGTGAGAGTGCGGACATCCACCGGTGTTGACTGCTGGGGAAGAGCGGCCGCCTCCTTGGCCAGTGCGTCCGCTCTTTCATTACCGGCGAGCCCACAGTGGGCCGGGACCCATTGCAGCGTGACCGTGCTGCCGTCGGCCGTCATGCGCCGGAGCTGGGCCCACAGCCTGGCGCCCAGTGTCGAGGCCTGGGCCGCAGCGCCTCCACCCAGGAGCAGCAGAGCCGCCTTCGAGTCCAGGCAGGCGACTACAGGCACTCCTCTGCAGCCCGGCAGCTCGGCGGCCGCCTCCAGAGCTGCCAGCAGCGCGGTGAGCTCCGCGCGGATGCTGGAACAGAAGCGGCCCGTCGGCACCCGTACCTCCAGGTCGTCTCCGTTTGGTGGGCGGAGCAGCGCGCCGCCGCCACCGTTCTCCACGCCGCCCTCCGCCGAGCCGTCCGACCAGACCCATACGGCCTCGGGCAGGAGCTCTCGGATGCGCTCCTCCGCCGCGGCTCGGCGGGTCTCTGCAGATGTCGCGCGGCTGGCTCGCGGACCGAGGTCCAGATGGAATTGGACGGCGGTACTGTCGGTCCACGGCGGCAGGGAGTGATGTAGTCGGGCCTCCACTGGGACGTCTTTAGCCCCGGCGGCCGACAGCGCAACGAGCCCCACCTCTCTCCATCCCTCGGTGGTACGTAGTCGGCGCGGGACGACCGCTTCACCCACTGTCCTCAGTGGGTCGCCCTCCGGGAGGGACGCGGCGAGGCCCACCATTCTTGCCGCTAGCGTCACGCGGCGGGACCGCGCGTCTGCCATCCCGGCCTCCGACATTAGGGCGTGGACGGGCGTAGACGCTGCGCAGCCTGTCACCACACGGGCCGCGGCACGCAGCTCTCTCGCTATGATCTCCACGTGTGTTGGGGGGGAGGGGTCGCCGGCAGCCAGGCGGCTGCAGCGTACTCCAGCGCCCCCCTGACGTACCCATTTGCCACAGTCCTTAGTTGCCGTTCCTCCAGGCCCCACGAGCGTCCTGTCATCTTCCTGAGCTGGGCTACCCTGGGCCTGACTTTCCGGCGGAGTTCCGCATGCACAGTGTGGGCCGAAGTGCAACAGGCGGTCAAACGTCACTCCCAGGAGGCGGAGTTTGGGACCCGCTTTCACCGGGGCGCCTGCCACCTTCACCGTCACATCTTTGGCATCCTGGGCCCATTGCGAGAGGACAATGGCCTGGGTCTTCTCACCCGCCACTACCATCTTCCAGCGGGTCGCCCAAGCTGCGATGGTGTCGGCTGCTCGCTGTGCTCTCTCCCGGGCCAGGGCGATAGAGCATCCGCTGCTGAGGGTGGCGGTGTCGTCCGCGTACATGTAGGTGGATGTACATACACGGGATACACCGCAGTTCCAGGATCAGGTCGGCGGCCCACAGGGTGTACAGCGTCGGAGCCAGAACGCTGCCCTGCGGGAGGCCGGCTCTGAAGACGCGCTCTGCGCTCCGGGTGCCGTTCACCTCCACCGACGCCCGGCGGTCACGCAGGAACGCCCAGATCCAGCGGGTCATACAGGCGGGCAGGCCCAACCGCAGGAGCTTCAGCTGTAGCATACGGTGGTCGATGACGTCATAGGCGCGGCTGAAGTCGTATGCCATAAGAACGAACTTCTCGGCCGTGACGCCGTCCACCGGCTTCCCTCTCGGTTTGGGCTTGTTCCATCCGTCCTGGACCGTTTGGATCAGCCTTCCCAGGTTCTCTTCCGCGGACCGTCCTCTTCGGAAGCCGACCTGCTCAGATGGGACCATCTCCTCCCTCTCCGTCAGGTAGGTCATGCGTGCAGACACCATTCGCTCCATCAGCTTCGCCAGGTGTGACGTCAGCGCGATGGGTCGGTAGCTTGATGTTAGCTTGGGGTCCTTTCCAGCCTTGGGGATCGGAACGATGACGGCTCTGCGCCAGTCAGCTGGTACCTCTCCCCGCAACCAGGACTGATTGATGACGCGCAGGAGCAGGGCCTTGGCTCTCGGGCCGAGATGCTTCAGATGCTCCGCGCAGATATTGTCTGGTCCGGGGGCTTTCTTATCGCTCATCTTCCTCAGTTGGTTGTTCAGCTCGTTTTCCGTGAAGGGGCCGCAGCAGCCGCCGTCTTCTCTCTGACCCGCGCACGCGGTGCACGGGAGGCGGCTTAGCTGGTTGAGCTCCTGTTTCACGACGCGGTCCCGTTTCCTGTTACGGACCTGTCGACTAACTGGAGTAAGTGCGCACGAAGGAGGTCGCCTTCTCCAGGTCCTCCACGGCGAGGCCGCGGTCCCCTTGGAGAGCGTGGCCGGGGCACGCCTGCACCGATCCCTCCATCTTGCGTAGCACCTTCGTGACTCTCCCGATGTTAGTCGGCTTGTTGAGCGTGGTAGAGGCGAACTCACGGAAACTGCGGGTCTTGGCCTCCTCTTCTATCTTGGCGGCCCGACGTTTGGCTTCCAGCCATCTGTCCTTAGCCGCACGGGATCGGTCCTGCTTCATGGCGTCCCTCGCCTCCCGGCGCTCCGCCACCGCCTCGACGAGTTCTGGGTCCAGGGCCCATGGCCGAGGGTCGGCCCGCGCTCCCCGCGGAATTGCGGTGGTGCTCTCTGCTCGGCGCCGGCCGCGGCCCAAAATGCTGCAAAGATGCGCCCGCCACGTGCACACCGCTGCACGCACCCCCTCGAAAAGTTGATACGACAAACAGATGCACGCGTCCGACTCGGCGCGAAAATTTCACCCCCGTAGCCCGCACCGTTCCACAGCAATAGCCCGCCAAGCGTGACGGACGCGTCACATACATACGGACATTTTGATTTTTATATATGTAAACTAGAGGGACAGCATTACGCGCAGCGTAATAAATAAAGTTTCAATAAAATCGGCCCAGTAGCAGCCGAGTTATGGCCAGAATAAATTTGGCGTCTCCTCCTGGCCGGCGGTGCTCTGTTCCGGTATTCGTTGCCAAAGGTCAGTGACCTTCCGGCTCTGATTTCACCCAGTTTTGCAAGCGAAGAAACTGAGGCTAACGCGCGTGCTCTCTGATCGGCGCCGGCCGCGGCCCAAAATGCGGCAGAGATACACCCGCCACGTGCAAACCACCGAACCCACTCCCACCAAAATTTAATACGACAAACAGATGCACGCGTCCGACTTGCGTCGAAAATTTCACCCCCGTAGCCCGCACCGTTCCGGAGCAATAGCCCGCCAAGCGTGACTGACGCGTTACATACGTACAGACATTTTGATTTTTATATATGTAACTAGAGGGACAGCATTACGCGCAGCGTAATAAGTCAATTTTCAATAAAATCGGCCCAGTAGCGGCCGAGTTATGGCCAGAATAAATTTGGCGTCTCCTCTTGGCCGGCGGTGCTCTGTTCCGGTATTCATTGGCAAAGGTCAGTGACCTTCCGGCTCTGATTTCACCCAGTTTTGCAAGCGAAGAAACTGAGGCTAATGCGCGTGCTCTCTGCTCGGCGCCGGCCGCGGCCAAAATTCCGCAAAGATGCGCCCGCCACGTGCAAACCGGCGAGCGCACCCCCTCGAAAAGTTGATACGACAAACAGATGCACGCGTCTGACTTGCGCCCAAAATTCCACCCCCACAGCTCGCACAGTTCCACAGCAATAGCCCGCCAAGCGTGACTGACGCGTTACATACATACGTACAGACATTTTGATTTTTATATATGTAACTAGAGGGACAGCATTACGCGCAGCGTAAAGAGGGACAGCATTACGCACAGCGTAATGAATCAATTTTTAATAAAATCGGCCCAGTAGCGGCCGAGTTATGGCCAGAATAAATTTGGCGTCTCCTCTTGGCCGGCGGTGCCCTGTTCCGGTATTCATTGCCAAAGGTCAACGACCTGCCGGCTCTGATTTCGCTCAGTTTTGAAAGCGAACAATCTGAGCCTAAGGCGCGTGCCGTCTGCTCGGCGCCGGCCGCGGCCCAAAATGCTGCAAAGATGCGCCCGCCACGTGCAAACCGGCGAGCGCACCCCCACCAAAATTTAATACGACAAACAGATGCACGCGTCCGACTTGAGCCCAAAATTCCACCCCCGTAGCCCGCACCGTTCCGGAGCAATAGCCCGCCAAGCGTGACTGACGCGTTACATACATACATACATACATACATACATACGGACGTTTTGATTTTTATATAAGTGACTAGAGGGACAGCATTACGCGCAGCGTAAAGAGGGACAGCATTACGCGCAGCGTAATAAATCAATTTTCATTAAAATCGGCCCAGTAGCGGCCGAGTTATTGCCAGAATAAATTTGGCGTCTCCTCCTGGCCGGCGGTGCCCTGTTCCGGTATTCATTGGCAAAGGTCAGTGACCTGCCGGCTCTGATTTCGCTCAGTTTTCGCAGCGAACAATCTGAGCCTACGGCGCGTGCTCTCTGATCGGCGCCGGCCGCGGCCAAAATTCCGCAAAGATGCGCCCGCCACGTGCACACCGCTGAACCCACCCCCTCCAAAATTTAATACAACAAACAGATGCACGCGTCCGACTTACGTCGAAAATTTCACCCCCGTAGCTCGCACAGTTCCGGAGCAATAGCCCGCCAAGCGTGACTGACGCGTTACATACATACATACATACGGACATTTTGATTTTTATATATGTAAACTAGAGGGACAGCATTACGCGCAGCGTAAAGAGGGACAGCATTACGCGCAGCGTGATAGATCTATTTTCATTGCAATCGGCCAAGTAGCGGCCGAGTTATGGCCAGAATAAATTTGGCGTCTCCTCCTGGCCGGCGGTGCTCTGTTCCGGTATTCATTGCCAAAGGTCAGTGACCTTCCGGCTCTGATTTCCCTCAGTTTTGCAGCGAAGAAACTGAGCCTAAGGCGCGTGCTCTCTGATCGGCGCCGGCCGCGGCCCAAAATTCCGCAAAGATGCGCCCGCCACGTGCAAACCGGCGAGTGCACCCCCTCCAAAATTTAATACGACAAACAGATGCACGCGTCCGACTTGCGCCCAAAATTTCACCCCCGTAGCCCGCACCGTTCCGGAGCAATAGCCCGCCAAGCGTGACTGACGCGTCACATACATACATACATACATACATACGGACGTTTTGATTTTTATATATGTAACTAGAGGGACAGCATTACGCGCAGCGTAAAGAGGGACAGCATTACGTGCAGCGTAATGAATCAAGTTTCAATAAAATCGGACCAGTAGCGGCCGAGTTATGGCCAGAATAAAGTTGGCGTCTCCTCCTGGCTGGCGGTGCCCTGTTCCGGTATTCATTGCCAAAGGTCAGTGACCTTCCGGCTCTGAGTTCACCCAGTTTTGGAAGCGAAGAAACTGAGCCTAAGGCGCGTGCCGTCTGCTCGGCGCCGGCCGCGGCCCAAAATGCGGCAAAGATGCGCCCGCCACGTGCAAACCATCAAACCCACCCCCACCAAAATTTAATACGACAAACAGATGCACGCGTCCGACTTGAGCCCAAAATTCCACCCCCGTAGCCCGCACCGTTCCGGAGCAATAGCCCGCCAAGCGTGACTGACGCGTTACATACATACATACGTACAGACATTTTGATTTTTATATATGTAAACTAGAGGGACACCATTACGCGCAGCATAATAAATCAAGTTTCAATAAAATCGGCCCAGTAGCGGCCGAGTTATGGCCAGAATAAATTTGGCGTCTCCTCCTGGCCGGCGGTGCCCTGTTCCGGTATTCATTGCCAAAGGTCAGTGACCTTCCGGCTCTGATTTTGCTCAGTTTTCGTAGCGAACAATCTGAGCCTACGGCGCGTGCCGTCTGCTCGAAACCGGCCGCGGCCCAAAATCCCGCAAAGATGCGCCCGCCACGTGCAAACCACCGAACCCACCCCCACCAAAATTTAATACAACAAACAGATGCACGCGTCCTACTTGCGTCGAAAATTTCACCCCCGTAGCCCGCACCGTTCCGGAGCAATAGCCCGCCAAGCGTGACTGACGCGTTACATACATACATACGGACATTTTGATTTTTATATATGTAAATAGTAGATATCCGAAGGTTGGGACTTTTCAATTAAGACAATCACTATTCTTTAGAATTGTGATTTTCTATTGAAAATCCCAACCTGAGCTACCTCTCTAGGGGGGTGTTTAGCGTTTCTGCCGCGATTTTGGTCATTTTGATTCCGAGAAAAACGGCACGGTAAACTTTTTTGCCATTTTCAGCGTTTGGTCCCGTGTGGGGGAGCTACCTTCTGGCAAAGTTGCATGAAATATAATGGTCCCGTTTTGGGGTAATCGGCACGTGCATTTTCCCATAGGGTTAACATGGGGGAAAATTTAAAAGGCGATTTGCACAAAAACTCCACGTTAGAAATGAATTATATTTTTTGGGTCGCTTCCCGGGCCTGGACCCCACCTCATGGTGGTAATTATTTAAAATATAAATGACAAAATTTCGGGTAATCGGGACGGATAGTTACCCCATGTTGAGCCTATGGCGATTTCGAAAAATTATTTTCAAATCGATTTTGCCAAAAATTTCCACGTTAGATTTTGAAAAAGTTCCAATATGTTGTGCACCGGGGTGTCGGCTACCACATGGTATAGGTCAGATATGGGGCGATTGAAAAGCACGTGCCACGTGCAAACGTGTTTGATGGGGTAACCTCCGGGAAAATCCGACACTGGCCAACTGGGGGTCCTATGGCGTGGAAACGACTTCAACTAGCGACACCAAATCAGTGCAGCCGGTGAGCAGATGAGTCCAGCTTGTCGCAATAGTGGTCACGTGGCGCACGTGCTATTGCACGTGCCGTGGCACGGGGTCAATTTTGGTGCTTAAATATACTAGCATAGTGAAATGCAAGGACTGGGGGAAATAGCCGTCAGGCCGTCAGTTTTTTTGATAGGGTCGATCTGAAAACGGGTATAGGCACAGAATGAAGGGGGCTAAAAAACTGCTATCTCGGATTTTTTGTAAAATGAAAAATTAAAAATTATGGGGAAATTATGTATTTGAAAGGTGAAATTTCCCTAAATTTTCCCGTTTTTCGAGTTTAGTCGTCCACTGTTCAGAGACGGTCACACCGGCCGGG